AAAGTAAAAGTCAACCCAAAGAGTATTCACTCATTTCCATTCATTCATTCATGCCATACATACCTATTAGTGCCCCTCCCCACATTCCAAACACTGTTTTTTTTCCAACTCCGGCGCAGAAGGTGAACACTAAGCACTGCCTACATAATGAGGGTGATCCTTAATGCTAACACCCCCCTGGCGCTCCCTATAGCATACTGGGGCATCTGTCCTAAGTGCCCCAAATAGTCTGGCACTGCCTCTGACACCCTTCGGATGACAACATTTTGTTTGAACTCACACATAAAGCTGGTACTTCTCCACGTGGCTTATCTCCGCTTTGGAAAATACAAACTCCATAAGGGCAGGAATGACCTAGTAGGTCTGCTCATCCTGCATCCCCAACAGACCCTCCAAATGCCTTACAGATGAACAGACAGAACGAACCTCAGGAAGTGAAGTTTCAAAAACCCAAGACAGGACCAAGAAAGACAAGTTCCCTCAATGTATCTGAGAGACAATATCTGTTTTAGTCAACACGAACCCCAGAGCAAAGCCCATACTTTGCAGGAGGAATGGAAAATTAGAGGGGAAGGAATGAACAGCAACAGAAAGCTATCCAGTATAGATTACCGAAAGAAAGCCCAAGGTGTCAGATAACCACGATCATGCCCGCTGCACACTGCAACGTAATCTTGGCTTGACAAAATAAATGAGTGTAAACTGAAGCCAAACAAAACCACAGTAGATCTTGTTTGTAAACACTGGCAAAATCGGCTAAAAGTCACAACAGCAGGCAGGTCGGCTTCTCTGTTACCTTTTGCGGGCGGGTAAAAAGATAATTTATAACCCCAATGCTCGGATGACAGCTGACAGCCCGAAAATTAACCCAAGTCATAATAAAAGCTAAATGGCTTGCTTTAGCATTAAAAGAAAATTGCATCCAAATGTGATTTCTTTCTCTCTTGGCCCTTGCAACCCTCAATTAAGCAAGCTATATAAAAGGTAATCCAAAAATTATCACAACTTCTAGGCCAGCATCCAAGCAAGGCCACCCACCACAGTCAAGCACTGACTCAATCAAAAAATCCTGGGGGCCTACTAGGTGCCGGTCACTGTGCTAGGTGTTGAGAGACGTTGGTGAAAAAGCTAAGACTCTATCCTTGTGGGATGCTACTGGGGAAGACAGATTATAAATAGGTAAACAAAGCCCAAATGATTGCCGGTGTGCTGTGGTGAGCACTTGTAGACAAAAAGGTGTGGCTATGTTAGCAAGCAATGGCGGTGCTCAGGAAAGACTCTGCAGGTGACCCTGATGTCGGAATTGGAAGCATGAGAAGGAGGAAGATATTTGCAGAGTATCTGCAAGAGCATCCCAAGCAGAGGGAAGAGCAAGTTCAAAGATCCCCAGGCGTAGCAAGAACAGAAATGAGGCTCACGTTAGCAGAAGGCAGTGAGGGACGGCCAGAGTGACAGGGAAGCTGGGGATGAGGCACAGGCCAGCCCCCTGCGGCTGGAGGGTGTTCGAGAAAGAGGGTGATGTGATCCGATCTGTGGTTTTAAAAGCCAGTCACTTGGGCTCCTGTATGGAGAACGGACTGGAGATACCCAGGGTGGAAGCCGGGGGACCTGTTAGGATGTTGGTCCAGGAAGGAGGTAGCGGTGGCCAGGACCAGAGCGGGAGCTATGATCATGAGGAGAGGTGGACGCCAGATAACATTCTGGAGGTGGAACCATGAGACCCACTGAGAGCATGGATGTGGAGGGCGGGGAGAGGACAAGCGAGGACAACTCCTGGCAAGTGGGTGGACGGTGGAGCCACAGACTGGGATGGCGAAGACGAAGGAAGGAGAGAGCTGGAAGGGGTATCAGGAGCTCCATTCAGGGAGTAGAGTTGGAAGCCCCCAGAAGGGCTGTGTTGGAAATAAAAACATGGGAGTCACCAGCAGGGGTGGGGGCGGGGGGTGGATAACATTATAGGAAGAGAGTGTTGAGGACACAGAGGAAGCTGGTCCAGTCCCTACGTAGCCCCATCATTCAGAGGTCAGAGGAGCAACAGTGGGGCCGCTGAAGAGGAACCGTCAGGAAGGGGAGCAGAAAGCCAGGGGAGGGTGGGGGCCGGAAGCTGGAGGGCGGGGGGAGCAGGGGGGGGGGGGGGGTTGTTCCAGGGAGGAGGGCATGGCCGCTGGTGAGGAGCCCGGCCAAGGCGCTAACACAAGGACAGAGATCCGGCAGCACGCTGGTTGCCAGGGACCCCGCAGTCGGGGTAGGACTGCAGAGCGTGGAGGGGAAGGAGCGGCAGAAGAAAGCCAGTAGAGAGTGGGTTTGGGACTTCTCTTCCGAGATGTTTTCAGGTGAAGGGGAGCAAGGAAGCAAGAGAGAAGATGATGGAAGCGAAAGCTGCGCTCTCCAATATGGCAGCCACTACCCACATGTGGCTATTTCAATTTCAATTAAATTAAAAATTCAGGTCCTCGGTCACACTAGACACATGCAGCTGGGGGCAGCCGTCCTGGGCCACGCACACACAGCACATTCCCATCAGTGTGAAAAGTCGACCGGACAGCACTGAACCAAAGCCCGCATGTGTACGGATCAGACAGACCCTGGAGGCAGGTGGCTTGACGAGGCGAGAGGGGACGGGACGGACGGTCCCGGGTGGAGGACCAGAGGAGGGCCTGGCCAGCCGCTGAGACAGGTGGCAAGAAAGCCACCGGGGACAGCGGCCTCGGACAGAGAAAACACAAACTTACTGGGGGAACCACACGCTTCATGCAAAACACTTCACAGAAGAGAAGCAGAAACAGTGAATGTCTGAAAGAGGAAAAGCATCTTAAGTGGGAAGAAGTAAACTCAGATTTTTTTTTCCATATGTCTTGGCCACGTCCGCACAGTCGAGCCGTAGCAGGGCAATAGGACCACAGGGAGGTTCTCTACGGACTGCCCTTTTGTTCTCCCCCCCCCATCCTACTCAACTCTCGGAAAGGATGACATTGGTTCTATTTTCGGTGAAAATGGCTCCCTCCACCCTCCTCTGTCTGAACTGCTTATCCAGCCTTAGCTCCATCTCAATTTACAGCCACGGTTTGCAGGCTCACATACATTACAGAAGAAGCGGATAGATTGAAACTGACAGAAGTAGGCAGGAGTTACAGACCAGCCCTCACCTGCAAGAAGTGAGTAAGACATGTACTGAATGATGTTCAAAGTCCAGGAAAGTCACGTTCCACTTCAACACGATCCCCAAGATACTCCACCCTGATGCTCCACAAACAAAAATTACCTCCTGACATTTTCTTTAAGCTTTTATAAGTAAACATTTTCATTTCCACAGAACTATTTGATCTCAACCACAAAGTTTCAGTATTTGTTTCTGATCATGCAAGTGTGTTGAGTTGGTTTTGTGCGTGCTGCCTGAAGGGGGAGGGACAGAGAGAGTTAAAATTACCAGATCCCTTTTATCTTCCATCTTGAGACCTACATTTGCCAACTCCTTTTCACCCCCGTACATTTTTTTTTTAAGTATGAAATCTGAGAACCTCAAAGGTTCCCGCTGCACAAAGAGCAGCCCTTTCATAGTCTACCAAGAGATCACTGGAAATGTTGCAGAAAACCTGCTTCCCCACCAGTGCCCCTCTGGCATAATCACCCCCAGTTTCTCTATGTATGAAATCTCCTGGATTGGCACCGATGTCTTGAGCAAATCTCTTGGCCCCTTTCTCTCCCCTCTATCCTGTTCATGGAGGTCTGGAGCCCTCCCACTTCCCTTCATCAAAATTCCTCTCCGCCTGCCTCTGGTTCCTCCCAACACCTTGCAGACCCCACAGATAACGTTCACTGGGTAAGTTTCACTCCAGAAACTTACCTGGAGTGAGGTGCCACAGAGCCACTGACCGGTGGGAGCTAGATCAGGCCACCAGGACAGTCTCGCCCCTTTCCACTCCTCCCCAACCCCATAGAGAAAAGCACGATCTCTAAACTCAGCCAGCAAAAGTCTTAGGGTCATAAGAAGGAAAGGACTGTTTGAAGGGCGCTAAGCACAACAGCAGGGGACACAGAGATTCAGGAACTCTGGTTCGCTGACCCACACCCCCACACCCCTGTGGTCGCTGTCAGGCTGTGGCTTCCCCTCTGCGGATGCACAAAATGTCCTTCTACAAACGCTCATCAGCTGCCCAACCTGGGGACAGTCACCGAACCACTTAAGGCATCAGTTTCCTCATCTGCAAAATGGGCATAATAACTGTTCCCAAAATAAGGAGGGCGAACCTCACCATGTGCTCCCGTAGGGTGAGCAGATGTAAGGAGTTAATCGTGTTAGCACAGCGGCTCCCTGACTCACAGCGCCTACTGCTCAGAGACGCCAAGGAGAAATCAATCCTGCTTTTTAAATTACTTTATATACTCACAAGCATTAGTCACTTGGACAGAGTATTTCAACTTCTCCCCTGAGCATCTTACTCCGTTTTGTCGAAGACTGGAGCCTCACCCGGGCTCCTTCCAGACTTCATCACCCTCATCCGTCTCAAAGCAGAGTCAAAGTCCACTATTCCTACCTCGGGGAGCGGGGTGGGGGGGTGGGGTCACGATTATTTCGTCTGTTCCCTTTACAGGAAAACTTCTATTTCCATTCTGCTTGTAATAAACCCAGTCGTGGGGGACGACAAACTGCTTCTCACACTCACAAACACAGGCCCGGGAGTTGATCGCGCCTGGGACCGCCGTCCCCGCGGCTGCCGCGCGCCCGGGCCGGCTCGGAGGCGGAGGGCCACGGGCGTGGGGCCGAAAGTCCGCGCCCAGGCCGGGCTGGCCCTGCCGGGGAGGGGGCGAGGGGGAGGAGGTCGCGCGCCGGGGCGGAGGGCGTGGGTTCGGCGGCCCCGGGCTGGCAGACGCCGGCCGCGCGCTCGGCCCCCGGCCCCCGGCCCGGGGAGAGGGCGCGAGGGGCAGAGGGCGCCGGCCCCCCGGGGGGCTCCGAGCCAGGGACGCGTCGCGGCCCCTCCGGCGGGCGCCGGCTCACTCACCCCATCTCCGGCGCTGCTCCGGCGGCCGCTCCGACGGGCCCTCTGGCGCTCGTTCCCCGCGCGCTCCGCAGCCGCTCCCCGCGCGGCACATGCGGCGGCCCGTGCGCGCCCGGCTCAGCCCCGGCGCCGCTCCATTCCGCGGGGCTGCGCGGCTGCCGCTGCTGTTGCCGCCGCC